TTCCTTTATTCCTACAGCCAACAGTCAGTTCCTTTTCCTAATCTTTCTCGTATCCATCCACTTCTCTCCTTCCTCCCACTCAATGTCATTCTCTGAGTTTAGGCACCCACTATTTCTCGCCTGAACCACACCTGAGCTTGCAAACTGGCTTCTCTGCCTTCAGTATCGTCCCTGTCTCCCCTGAAGCTCCCCTCTCTGGCCACTCCCAATCTTTCATCCAATACACCAGTCACACCAGAACTACTTGCATGTCTCCATGTTTTCTCACCTCTATGTCTTCATGTGGTTTTTCATGTATTTTTCACCTCCATAATCTTCATGTCATTTTGCCTGGAACACTCTATCTTCTTCCTGTTAATCCATTAAACTTCTCACCTCAAACATCACCTCCTCCAGGAACTTCGGATACCCTCCCCAGAGCCAGATTCCCCACCTTTATGCTGGTATCCAAATATTCCATTGTCTAAAAAAATATTTAAAAGCACATGAAGTTCCTCTTCATCTCAAACTGAATGAGAGGCGGGGGTGGGGGGATACCTTCTCATAAAAACTACAGGAAATAGACTTTCCATGATTGTAAACAGAGGTAAGTCTCTGTGTCCCCCATTCAGAATTGTGGTCCGGACTGAAGTTACCCAGTGGACACTGCTACCAGCCACATTTGCTGGACAACACCTCTGTCACCCAGACTGTCACCATGCTCCAGGCAAAAGGACATGTTTTTTTCTTATACTGGCCTCTGGCTACTTCTTTAAGGCAAATGATCAACTGGATAAAAATACATCATTTCTATGAAGGTGCCTCCTAAAATCTGTCTCATCTGCTTTTCCTACGGTTTAATGTCCACAGCTGCCTGTGGGATGCTCCTCACAGACAGGGGGACAAGACTCAAAAGTTAACACAAACCTGTTTCCTTGACTATAAAGGGATGAGCAGATGACCTCCAAGGACGCTTTCCCACTAAAATGTCATCTGAACTCATTCTCTGTCCTAAACTGGCTCACTTGTGAATCTCCCCATTTCTAGGAATAGATAAAATACGTAGAGGGCCTAGTCATAGCAGCTCACTGTCCTGTCTCTGACAATGGTACTACAAGACGGTTAAGGGGATCTTTAATGTGTGCCACAAAATATTAGAAATACATAAATACTCTCTTCCTCCAATAATCTAAAATAAAACTTCCACTTGTGTTAAGTTTTCCCAAACCTGTACATATCATATTACCTTTTGGAGAAAGGCATTTCCTTTCACGTCTTCTAAATTTATTTCTTTGAGGCTTCAAGAGGTGCCTTTAGTTCCAGGATTTCAAGATTTGGAGAATAAGTCCATATGAATGCCACCCATACCTTCAGAAACTCATAGTCTTTATACAAGAGAAAAACAGTGCTCTTGGTGTACGGGTTTTTGGTTCCTCAGTGAAGCATGTTGGCCAAAATTGCTGATTTGGCAAAAGTCACCATATTGAATATTAAGTTTCTTTTGCTATGCTATAAAACCTTCTTATGCTTTTATAAAGTTGTTTATTATTAGCGCATAATAGCATCTCCAAGTCTCACTGTCACTTCAATGGAAAATTCTTCCTTAAACTGACCTGCAATCTGCACCTCTCTACCTGCCACTGTTGAGAGGATGAGTTTCTGGAACATGAGATGGTTCCCATCTGACATTAATCCCAGAGTGAGCAGCCTTTACTCCTAACCCTTGTCCTGAGCCTGAGTTCAGAGAGACAAATTCTGCCACACTGACTGATGGAAGCAACTGTCCACAGGTGGGATCTCCAGATACTTCTGGAAAACAGGATGGCTCTCCCTAAAACAAACCCCAGCACCTCAAGAAGCTGTTTCCATGTGAATCCCTTCTTCCTTGGCCCTCTTCACTCTTAATACCACTGTTTTACTTAGGACTCCCTTCTCAACAATTTCAATCACAGTATGGTGTGCTGGTTAAGAGTCCAACTGCCTAGATTCAAATCTCACTTCTATCGTGTGCTAGATGTATGACCTGGGTAAACTACTGAATCTAGGTTTGCTCCCTTCATCATTAAGATGGAACTCCTGACAGTACTCCCCTCATGTAGATGTTATGAGGATTAAATGAGTTGGTAACTGGAGAGTACTTGGCACAGTGCCTGGAGCAGAGCAAGTGTTTCATAAATATTATTATTACTATTATTACAATTCTTCTTTTTCTTCTTCTTCTCAATAGCTCCCTAACCAGTCTTCTGCCGCAAGGTCATCACCCTTCACCGATCTGTCTTCCAGGCTACTTCCAGGATACACTTTCAAAACATTTCTTGATTATAAAATACATATTTCATTACAGAAAGTTCAGAAAACATATAAGGGAAAAGTCACCCACTGACCAGAGAGACAACCACTATTGACATATTTCCTTCCAGTCTTTTCCTTCCTTCCTTTCTTCCCTTCCTTCCTTTCCTTCCTTCCCCTCCCCATTTCTTTCTTTCCTTTCCTCTCCTTTCCTTCCCTTCCTTTCTTCCTTCCTTCCTTTCCTTCTGTAACATAGCTGAGATGATCATTTATGTACTGCTTGTGTCTACTGTCTCCCACTAAGCAAGTCCCCGTAAGTTAACATTTAACCACACGAGGTAGGGTTGGCTCGAAATCTTTGTTTAGGACTGGACACAGAGAAAACACAAACTGGAGCAATAAAGGACTGGCCCTTCCCTGGCTGAGGCCGCAACAGAGGCCAGCATCCCACTGCTGGGTTTGTGCGATGCCCACACTCCTCTGCCCGCTCCTCTCCTCGCTAGTCCTCTCCGGGGGAATGCAGAGCGCTGAGGGCCCAGGCTGCCGGCCTCACCCCTGCCCGCTGGCCCCTGCTGCCACGAAGATGGTGCACGTGCTCTTGGGGTGCACTGCTGTTTCAACACCCAGCTTGGAACGAGAGTTTCCAAAAGAAAACATTGCCCTCGGTAATGACAACCAGGCCTGGGGGTTCAGAACACTCTTACCGTCCAGCCACATCCGCGTGACCACACAGGCACCCGGCTGACGCCTGCCAGAGGACCGACTGAGTATCTTGTGGCTTCAGTTGCCGCTTGGAGTGCACTGCAAGGTCCTTCAGAGATAAGCCATGTCTCCTAATTTTTATCCTTTACAGTACTTAATACAGAGCTGGTAATAATAAATGATTGATGAATAAAGTAATAGCCAACACTTTTCTTCCTTTTAAATACGTATGTTTTTACTTCTTTCTCTTGCCTTACTGCACTCAATACGCGTCGGGATTGCCAGCACTCTTAGAGTGCTTACTATGTGCCAGACACCAGTCTAAGGGCTGTACCCATGCTAGCTAATTTATTCCCTCCAACAGCCCTGGTGAGGGGATGTCATTATCATTTTCATTTTATGCATGAGGAAGTGACGGAATCAGAATTCAAATTTTAAAAACTAGTTTGATCAAACATCACCTCCAAATAATTGAATTCAACAACCAAAATATTTAGTAAGGATCAACTATGGCCTAAGCACTATGTAAGGTTAGGTCTTACACTGCAAGGGGAGAAATACCTGACAGTGTACTAAACACAAGGCAGGTGGGACAGATTCATACTAATGCAAGGAGGGAAAGGGGCAAAGGGAAGGGCCCACTTCCTATGATCAGAACAAGCCTCTCCAAAATGCTGAGAAATAAGGAGGCCCTCAAAGTCATCTCATTGTTAAGATCCAAGAATGAACAGGGTTAGCTCTCAAAGGGAACCACGATCCCAGAACATGTCTGGGAGCATTTGGCAGGACCCTGCACCTCTGTTCACCCCCAGACAGAAACACTGGGGCCAACATCTCCTTGTTCCCCAAGTGATTCCTTGTCTGGAGTACAGGAGTCTGGGGTAGCTGGAGTGGGCGGGACAGCCCAGCTCCTCCTTACTGACAAGGATGCAGCCTCCCAACAAATCACACCATTGACCCGATATTAATTTATTTTAACAAGCAGAGAACACAGCTTTTTTGTAAGGCCTGGTTTGTGTATCCTAAAATCTCAAGAATTTCAACATGCTCCTCACTAGCATCAATGTACTTTTTGAGCATCACGTGATGAAACACGTCTTTAATGGAACATACCATACACAGCAGAGAGCCACAGCCCTAGAGGAGACCTGGGGCTTCCCAACGCTTCAGTGACCTCCCAAGACAGGAGACCCCAGGAGCAGTCCTCACAGCCTTGGCCCTGATTATTCACAAGAAGGCAAGACTCCTCGCTCTCTTACCCGCAGCCTCAGCCATGGCCTGGATGCCAATTGTGTCCAAGCCCACAACTCAGAGCTCCGGGCTCTCGGCCCGTTCTTGGGGAGCAGCACCACCCAGGCAGAGACCCCGGGCTGTCTGTACCCCACATACCCTCCCAAGAGGTCCCTCCACCCGCCCGCTCTCTCAGTCAGGCCTGCGCTCCTTCTTGCCTGGCTCATGACACCTTTCTTACAGGTTTCCCCACCACCAGCCAGAAAAGTCTTTCAGAAGCACAAGGTGACAGATCATTCCTTGCTTTACAACTCTGAGAAGCTCACTTATACCGATAAGATCAAGTCAAACTCTTGACCCCAACTTGTTGGGCCCCTGCAAGATCTGGCCCCCACCTGCCCCCCAGGCCACCTTGGGTTCATAGCCACATGCACTCTGCCCCTTCTGCTCCCCCTAGACCAAGAGCAGTCCAAATAAGCCCCGCCCTCTCACAGCCACCCAGCTCAGGCCTCAACACCAGCACCATCTCGCACAGGCAGGCCTCCATGAGGCCTTCGCATCCCTGTGTGTGACAAAGCACCAGCGCCTCCCTCCGCCGACCTGCTACACACCACGTAGCTTCACTATCTGCTTCCTTTGTGGACTCTTCCACTAGCTTGTGAGCTCTTTTCAGTGTCCCCAGGCCCCGGGGCGGTGGGGGGGTGGTTGGCACACAGTAAAAGTTTGCCAGACAGGAGATTGAGCCTAGACACCCAAGCCCACCAGGCCTCCGCTTTTCCTGACCCCCGGGGCAGACTTACCAACACAATCGCAGGTGGGGAACTCGGCCTGGGCTCTCTTTGCAGGTGTGTCCAGCAGACTCTTGGTGGGTGTGTCCAGGTACTTAAGAGGTGACTCCAGGAAGCCACTGAGGGTGGGTGTGAGGGGGTTCTCGGCCTTGGTGGGTGTGGCCTCCTGGCCCCCCTCCTCTGAATGGAAGCAGGTGGTTGAGAGCACAGTCACAGCCCCCGAAGACTCAATCTTGATTTGCTTGGGGGAGCGGGTAGAAAAAGGGCTCTCGGGGGCTGGGAGACACGTTGGCTGGTTCTCGGGGTCCTGAATGGGAACAGATGGGGGGCCAGGAAGCCCAAAGCTATCCCCAAATTCAGCTTCAAACTGCCGGATGAGCTCTTCCAGCTTGTCATCAGCAGGGGGAAGAGGGCCGGCGGAGCCCGGCTGCAGGGTCGCCATAGGGCTAGGGGATCTCATTTCCTGAGTAGGGGGCAGCAGGCTGTCCCCAGAGGGACTAGGTGCAAATAGCGCAAGAGAAGGTTCTGGGGGCGGGGGGACAGCAGAGCCCTGTGAGGCGGGGACAGGGGCAGGTGGATGTGCCTGCGAATCCTCAGAGGCTGGGGACCTCCGCCCTTCCAGGACAATCTGCCGCAGAGGTGGGAAGAGAGGCTGCGTTTCCCGTGGCCTGGACTTCTTGATCTGAATGGGCTTCCGGATGCTGGGCTTGATCCCAGGGGCGGCCTTCTCGGTTCCCACGGGACCTCCAGCTGGTGTCAGGGGCTTCTTCTTCTTCTCCTTGGGTGGTCTGTCCGGAGGCCGTGGGGCAGGTGAGCTTGGTGGGGCCCACCAGCCTGGAGCAGGAGGCTCCGTGGGAGCGGGGAAGGAGGCATCGTGGGCCTGGTCCAGGAAGAGACTGCGCTTATGGTGAAGGTGCTGCTGCAGGGCGGTCTGGGCCTTCTGGTGGGCGTCGGGCTCTGTGGATGGTGCGGGAGCCTCCCTCTGGAGCATGGGGGATGGGGATGGGGCTGGGGAGGAAGAGGGCACCTCCACCTTGACCTTGGGCTTGGTGGGCAGGGCCTCGGGCCGCTTGAATACTGACTGGATGTAATCACTGGCGCTGCCCAACAGCTGCTCCAGTTCAGCCATGGGGTCAGGGCTTGGGCGGGGCATGGGCCAAGAGCTCCGGGGAGTTGCTGGTGGGGTGTCAGTGCCCCAGGCTTCAGGAAACTCTGTTCTAGGAGTTGCTGGCGGGAAGGCAGGGCCGTCAGGAGCAAAGGACGCGTGCTCTTCAGCCGGGACCACAGGCCACGAAGGGGCCCGGAGGTAGGACTGGGCAGACCGGAAAGGGGCAGGAGGGGACAAGGCCTCGGGGAGGGGGCAAGAAGCCTGGGAGGTGGAGTGGGAAGGCTGGGGGAGGGCAGAGGAGAGCTGTGTGAGGGCCTCGATGGCAATGGCCGTCTGCAGGCTGATGTTCTTTTCCTTGGCGATGCTCAGGGCACTCTGGGACAGGGGCAGGCCCTCGGGGGGAGGTATCTGGGGGACCTCAGAGCTGAGGACTGGCCGGGTGCTTGGCGCTGGGAGGCCAGCCTCAGCAGAAGGCAGAGTCCCTGGGAGCCTGGGCCGCTCCTCCCCGCCGTCCACGACCACAGACTTGATCTTCCCCTCCAGCCACTCGAGGTAGTCAGGGCACTCCGGGCCGTCGCAGTTGCAGTTGGGTGGCTTCATGCCATGCCGAGCGAGGGCCAGGGCCGTCTGCAGCGTGTCCAGGTCTTCGCTGCCAGCAGAACAGCCCTCGGGCCCTGACCGGGCTCCCCTGCTGTTGTTCCCAGCCTCGCGACTCATCTCACGGTTGAAGGTTTCATAGAGCCGGGTGCTAAGGGCCCCATAAGAGGACACGGCTTCGGCCACAGCCGAAAAGGCCACCAGATCGTGGGCATCTTCCAGGCGAGCAGTGTGAGCTGGGCCCGGGGCACCGTCCCAGTCGGGCTTCTGGTCTATTCGCCAAGGACCCCCAGCCCCCAGCACACTGGGTCCAGCGGGTTCTCTAGCACCATTGACCGGCGCCCCTGAGGCGCTTAGCTGCCGTGAGTCCCCATGGTACACTGGCCCTGAGTCCATCTGACCTGGAACAGGTCCATCAACTGGGCTGAGCTCTGAGCCTGTCTGAAGAAAGAAAGAAAGAGAAAAAAGGAAAAAGATGAGCCATGATAGTAGAAAAGCACTGTCCTGCTTCACACCATGCAGATGCATACCTAAACCCTGCATTTCTTGCACACTCTGTCCCTGACACAGCTCAAACCTGAACTCATCTTCATCTTCAGGTCTCCTTGCCCAGCTAGCTGCACCAAGAGAAAGGAAAGGCAGATCATTAAGAGGTCCTAATCCAGAATTCTGAATGTTACTCAGATCCTTTTAGAGCCTAAGATCGATCATACGGACGAGGTTCCCCAGACACCAAGCATTTATTAAGGACTCACAAAAAGATCTTTAACTCGCAATGACCAAAGTGACACCGGGACCATGCTGATTTCGGTGTTTGTCGGGAGAAAGCTAACCAAACACCCCAAGAAGCAATATGCCGTTAAGTGTGTGGTATATGTGGAGGGGGTGAGCAGCTCTAAGGGACAAACGCAGCCTGGACCAGAGGTCAGCCAGAGCTTTTCAGTGGGAAGGAACCCACAGTTTTTTTCTGTCTGTTACCGTCCTCACTTAAGCCCTGGCCGAGCTCCGAGAGCTGATGACAAGATGACATTCCCACTCCCAGCCCCAGCCAGGCTGGAGAGAAACACTGATGATCGGACACCACGTGCGTGCAGCCCCGTGCTGAGCCATTCATGCCAGTGACAAGCAAGGTGCTAGTCGGACCAAGATCCAGGCCTCTTCTCAAGCCCAAGAACCACTACTATACACCTGATGTCCAGCAAAACACACAGACGGGGGAGCGCAAAAAAAGGAAGGAGCCAGGGGGTCCAGCCCAGCAAGTTAAAAACTAATCTGAAGATGCGAAGTTCAGTTTGCAGAATTCATCCCTCTAGAAAGGAAAGCTCCTCCTTACAGTAGAATGCCAACAACAAAAATATAGAAGGGACAACAGATTTGGAAAGTCATCGGTGGATATGCCACAACTAGCAGGTGAAAGCTGGATGGGGCACAGGATATAGACACGGTCTCAAAATATCTCCTCGAAAATCACCGAGTTACAACATTAAAGAGAAATCTGGTAGATACCACCTGAACCAAATGATCAGAGTACTCATCATCACCAATATTGTGACCAACATCATGAGACTCTTGATATGATACACTGAGAAGGATAGAACATCACTCACACAGAACTCTAGCCAAAATGTACAAACCAAATCTAATTATGAGGAAACATCAGATAAACCCAAACTGGAGGGCATGCTAGAAAGCCCCTGGATTGTTGTCTTCAAAAATTTCAAAGACAAGAAAGACAAACATCTCTGCAAACATCTTGGGCTTCCTGAGGAGACAAGACAGAGAAATGCATGTTCATGTGTTAGATCACGGACTGGGGACAACAGCTGGAAGGTACACCATGGGGACATCTGATGCAATTTGAATATGGACGTGGATAAGATCACACTGTGTCAACCTCAGTCTTCTTGGCTTGAATCATTTTACTCTGATTATGTAAAAGAATGTCTTTGTCCTCAGGACACACATACACACACACTGAAGTATTCAGGATAAAGGAACATAGTATCTCTAACTTAACCTCAAGTGGTTCAGAAAAATATGATATGCATATAAAAATATAGAGAAAATGATAAAGCAAATAAAGCAAAATGTGAACAATTTTAGTATGTGGGAGTCCCAGGTACTCTTTTTGCAACTTTTCTGTAAGGTGTAGCACAAAGTGGATTAAACAAATGGTTAAATTGATACTAATCCCCAGACTGTGGAAGGTGCCCATCATGCATGGGCTTCAAAGTAGCGGTGGGAAGGTGGGATTTGGGATCAGCGAGGTGGAAGGTGAGCAGAGACCCCAGCCTAGGGTTCCCACCTCATCTTCATCGCTGCCCATTTCTGGCCACAAAGGACCCTCGTGCTTTTCCAACATGCTTTTCTGAGCTTTGCACATGCAGTGCTCACTGCCTGGAATGCCCTTCCCAGCCTCTGTGGGGCCACCTTGGATTATCCTTCAAGCACCAGCTCAATGGCACCCCCTCCCTGACCCGGCTGGCAGACTGCCCTGTGGCTCCTGTCCCCTGGGCTCCCACAGCACCTTGTGCATGCCTTAGCAGCACTTTTCACAGGCCCCTGCTATCATTCAAGCAGCTGCCTCCCCGACCAGATGGGAGCTCCTTCAAGACAAGGTCCACATCTTAACCACTTCCGTGTCTCCTGCCCACACCTGCTGCACGAACACTCTCTCCGCCCGGTGAAAGGCCTCCCCATCCCCCACCGGCCACGGACGAGATGGCCTTTCCCTGACCGTCTCTCCAAACGTGGAACTAGGAACGAAACCTTTCCTCTAGGAATGTGGTTGATCACCCAGTCGTCCCTTCCCTTCCTTCTCAGAAACCTAAACCACGGTGACAGCAAAGGCAACGAAGTCTGAAGTGGCCAAATTTTACATGCTTATGTGTAAAAGACAGAAGGAGCATGCATAACCCCGAAGAAACATGAGGGAGTAGCGTGGATTTACAAAAACAGTGTCAGGAAGACTAATGCTGTGGGAGCTGAGGCTTCCCCAAAATGGTCAAGACAACTAAAAGGATTTAAAAAGTTATTTTTGGTTTGTGAACAAGAACAAGGAAGGGCTAGGCTGGCGCTTGGGCCTCTGAGTTCCCTGGGAAAGAAAATGCTCTTTAGACCAAAAAGAGAAGAAAGGGAAGAGTGGACACAAAAATGAGGGAAGTGAAGCCAGCATGGGTGGGAGGAGATTTTAAGAAATGCTAAATTCCCGTTTCTCGGCCAGGGGATCCCACTGATGCATTCCCCAACACGTGCCGGGGATCCTGGAAGAAACACACCATCCAGAGAAGGTGCCACCAGCAAGAAAAGAGCAAGCATCGTTCCCGACTCCGGTGCACCAAGCAAGACCAGCCCCAGTAAGATTCCTGAGAGGGTAACTAAGGGAACCACAAGGAGCCAGGTTCAACAAAGGCCATCAACCCATCAACATCCAACTAACCTCACTGTTTTGTGTCATATGGTCATTGGACCAGCAGACTGGGAGACATCCTGTCTGATAGATCACAGACTCGAGGGCTGTAAGCCAAATCAGCCACAGATCTGTTTTGTTTGGCCTACATAGTGTTAGATTCTCGTTTGTCTTGCCAATATTAAAAAATCAAATTTTACATGAAACCGAGATTGTCTTGAAGGTCCACACTTCTACCTGGCTGACATGCCGTGGCTACTGCTCGGGGCCACCCCCAGCCTCACCATTCCATGCTTTCTTGACACCAAGGCCAGGGGTCAGAGATTACTTATTAATTGCCTGAATTAGTTATCACTTCATTCATTTGTGTCACTTGCCAAGCCCTTGTAGGCATTTGCATTTGCGACTTGGGCCATGGATGTTTACATTTCCTAAGGCCTGCTATGACCCCTTTGAGGGCCAGCAGTAGAGAATTACAGGCCAGACAGGCTGGCTCACCACTGGCGGAATGACCATGTTCAAACTCAAGGGGTATAGCAACCCAGGTGTGGGGAAGGGAGGAGTCTTTTTTTTTTTTTAAACGAATTTATTTATTCATTTGAGAGAGAGAGAGAGAGAGAGAGAGAGAGAGAGAGAGCAGGAGCAGTGCGGAGAGGCAGCGGAAGAGGGAGCAGCAGACTCCTTGCTGAGGAGGGAGCCCAACATGGGGCTCGATCCCAAGGCCTGGAGATCATGACCTGAGCCGAAGGCAGACGCTTAAGCATCTGAGCCACCCAGGTGCCCCCGGGGGTGGGGGAGGTCTTTAGTGGTCTGCCATAGGGCTCTGTCCTCAGAACTGTCCTGTTATTATTTACCAATATTGATAGACAAGGCACACTTACTAAATAGGCAGATGGTGAAAATAAGAGGGATAAAGCCATGTTGAATGAAAGGACCAGGTGCCAAAAGGTCAAGAGCTGGAGAGAAAAAAATCTAACAGGATAAATAGGGTCTTATACTTAGTCCCCAAACCATATATGTGCAAATCAAAGATGGCTGTAGTGCACATAAAAATGTCTTAGGGATCAGGAGAGGTGAAAGACTAGCTGATGATACACACAATATGATGATCTGGCAGCTTCAAAGGGTCCTATAACCCAGAGTTTTTTGCAACTTCTTTACTATAATCCACAGTAAGAAATATATCTTACAACATGATCCGTTATGTATTTATATATATGACAAGTTGGCAAAATACTATTTCCCCTTACTAGATACACAAATCCCTCTCTCCCTCTGTTTCTTGTAGGTTGCAACTTTGTAAGTTGATTTCATAGTCCACTAACGGGTCCCAAGCCATAGCTGGACACACACACAGCCATGACCTGACCGGAACAGGACCCGTAGCACAGGCACCGACGGCAGGCAGCGACAGCCCCTCTCTGCCCAGAGAGATCATACCTGAACCCGGGCTTCCCTTGGGGCTGCCCCTGAGGGGACACAGAGCAAGCAAAACAGTGCAAAACCATAGAGGAACAGGTCCCTTTAGGTTCTGAAGAAGACAAAATTCGTGAAAGTCTTTACACAACTGAAGTCTGTCAGTCTGGCACAGAATTAGATTCATTCTGAGGGATGGAATTGGAAAATGGGTAAAGCTTTAGAGAGGTACACATGGGCTCAATTTAGGGAACACTTTTAACACTTAGAGATGCTAACGCACTGACCCTTATCCCCCTAACAAGCAGGAGGCAGCAAGTTCTTAGGAAAGAGACTTTGAAAAAGGAACAAGGCAGTTATCAGGTGATCACTGGCAATGCTAGAGGATGGGGCTAGTCGAGGGAGGCCCTTTCAAAGTCTCAGCTCAGAAATGCGCCAGCTCTAAACCCCTCCACGCCATCTCCCTCAATCCTCGATCCCCTCTGGGCTCCAGCAGATGCCACTCCAAGGATGTTCCCCAATGTATGCATTTTGTCTGGACCTCTCAGCTGACCTCCAGCTAGCTCTAACCCCTGGGACATGCTACAAGCCCACTGAGGAGCAGCTTGTCTCAAAC